CAGTCACCCGCAATTGCCCTTCCCTGCTGGCCTGGTCACCCCTAACTCCCCTCCCCTGCCAGCTTGGTCATCCCTAACTGCCCTTCCCTGCTGGCCCGGTTGCCCCTAACTACCCTCCCCTGCTGGCCTGGTCGCCTCTAACTGCCCTCCTCTCCTGGCCTGATCGCCCACAACTGCCCTCCCCTGTCGGCCATCTTGTGGCTGTGGGCGCTGCCATCTTTGAGGGCATGGCAGTCAATTAGCATATTCCCTCCTTATTGGCTGTGGGTGCCACCATCTTTGAGGGTGTGGCAGTCAATTAGCATATTCTCTCCTTATTGGCTGTGGGCGCCACCATCTTAGCAGCCTGCTTCTCAGTCGTTTGGCTGTCCCTCACTAACCCCCCTGCCAGCCTGGTTGCCACACGCAGCCTGCTGTTCAGTCATTTGGTCGTCCCTCACTACCCCCCCTGCCGGCCTGGTCACCCCACACAGCCTGTTCGGTTGTCCGTTTAATTATGATGGTTGCTTAGGCTTTTATATATATAGACTAGAGGCCCGGTGCACAAAAATTTGTGCACTCGGGGGAAGGGGGGGTCCCTCAGCCTGGCCTGTGCCCTCTCGCAGTCTGGGACCCCTCGGGAGATAACAACCTGCTGGCTTAGGCCTGCTCCCAGGTGGCAGAGGGCAGGCCCAATCCCTAGGTGTAGCCCCTGGTCAGGCTCAGAGCAGGGCCAATTGGGGAGTTGGGGTGCCGCCCCCTGTCATGCACAGAGCAGGGCAGATTGGGAGGTTGCAATGCCACCCTCAGTCACGCTCAGGGTAGGGCCGACTGGGGGGGTGGGGCACCGCCCCCTGTCACACTCAAGGCAGGGTCGATGGGGAGGTTGCAGCGCCACCCCCTGTCACGCACAGAGCAGGGCCCATCAGGGGGTTGGGGAGCTCCCCCCTGTCATGCACAGTGCAGGGCTGATCAGGGGGTTGAGGAGCTCCCCCCTGTCACTCACAGAGTAGGGTGGATCAGGGGGTTGGGGCGCCGCTCTCTATCACCCACTCTCATACTCAGGGCAGGGCCAATGGGGAGGTTATGGCTCTATCCCATCAGACACCGAGCAGGGCCCATGGGGGGCGAGGGGGTTGGGGCCCCGCCCCCTGTCACACAGAGCTGCAGGGCGATCAGGGGGTTTGGGCGCTGCCCCCTGTCACGCTGATCCCGGTGCCGGGAGGCATATTACCCTTTTACTATATAGGGTAGAGGCCTGGTGCACAGGTGGGGGCCGGCTGGTTTGCCCTGAAGGGTGTCCTGGATCAGGGTGGGGGTCCCCACAGGGGTGCCTGGCCAGTCTGGGTGAGGGGCTGAGGGCTGTTTTCAGGCTGGGACTGAAGCTCCCAACCGCTCCTTTTTTTCTTTCTTTTTTTTACTCTGGGCCAGCTTTAGCTCTGAGGCCTCGGCTTTTCAAAACAGGTTTCTGGCCTTTGTTTACCGTCTGTATTCGATACAATGTTGCAGTCCGGCTGGCTGAAGCCCGGCTGGGAATGTTGGAGTCCTCTGTCACTGAAGCAAGCAAGCCTCCCTGTTCGCATCAGCTGCCTGGCTGCTGGCTGCCATCTTGGCTGCCAGTTAATTTGCATATCTTGCTGATTAGCCAATGGGAAGGGTAGCGGTCGTACGCCAATTACCATGTTTCTCTTTTATTAGTGTAGATTTCCTTATATATTTGAATCTATTTCTGGGATCTATCCCGTCCTATTGATCTATCTGTCTGTTTTTGAATAATTTTTATTGCGATTTTATTTCTGTGGCTTTTACTATTTATAGAATAAATATTCTTTCATTTTAATTCATTTTCAGGTTTTCTATTTTTTCATATTTACTTGATCAACTTAAAAATAATTTGGTCAAGTTAACAAAAGCCCTGCTTTTCAACCAAGTTGTATAATTTTAGATTCATTGAGAGGAAATTGGCACTTTTATAATACTGGGTTTTCTTATTTTTAAAAAGTCGTCCCTCCCCCCCCCATTCAAGCATTCTCTCAGGTTTTTTGGTAGCATTTTATGTTTGCTTATTTAGACCATGGCCATTTTGATAGATTTTGCTGTGAATGGAATGATTTTATTCTATAATATTTGTAAATTGTTAATTAAAAAACTACTGATTTTTGTTTATTTCCAGACAATTTAATGAACACTTTTTTTTAAATCATCTTTTGGTTGATTTTAGCTTTCAAAAGTCTCACCAAGTGGTACCCAGGAAGCAAATGAAGTAAATATAACTTCCTTACTGTAGGGCATGACTTGAGACCATTAGAGAGTGGGGCATAAAATAGGAGAGTTTATGGAATTTAATTTGTACATTTAGGAAAGACCAAATATGGGCCAATCTTACATCATTGAAGTGTAATATGTCAGACTAAGTATATTAGAATGAATAAGCATGCTGTCCTTGTTAGATTATTTAATATTCTTAGATGTCTTTGGTACTCAAAGAATCTCTCAGGGTTAATTAACTTTGTGAATTCTGTATCATTTATGTGAACTGCAGAAAGGCTGGATTTAATTAAGTCTTGTAGATACTGGTTCCTGTTTGAGTAAGTGAAGGATGGAAAGGAAAACTGGAGTTACCAGGTTGTGATTTCTAGGCTTGCTCATTTTTTTTTTTTGATATAACCTCACAAATGAAATATAACAATTTCTTGTTGTGCTTAATCCTACTTCCTCTTTCCAAAATGCGCCTAACTTCCCACCATCCCAACCCCCTAGGTAAGTAGGTGAAAGATGGTCTGGTCGGATAATGCCATCTTGTGGCTACCTGGGGAACTGTATGAATTAATCTCTTCCTGGTGAACCTCCAGTCTGGGTTGGTACCCTGGAAGCCAGATTCAGGCTTGGGAACAAGCAGTTTTTGCCTGAAGCAACAGGCAAAGAGAGAAGATAATATAAGTCTACATCCTGACAAAGGCTGCCTTATGGAAGCTGGGAAATAAGGAAGGAGCCAGAAAGGCTATATCCCCAGGAGTTGATAGACAGCAAGGACCGGGTTCAAAGAGAGACGTCCGTAAAGGTGTTCCATCTGGAGAGAGAGAGCTTCAGAACCAAAGCAAAGAAAGGGAGCCTTTTCTTTTTCTTCTCCCTTACTGGACTGTCTGCATTCAGTCTTTGGGTAGAGATCAGCTTAATCGTGGATTTCCAGTCATTTCTAACACCTTTCTTCAGGGGTTTCCTCATTTACTCTTTTTTAAAAAAAAAAATATTTTCTTAAAATTTTCTCCATTGTTTAAAACTCAGGTCATATCAGATAATTCCACAAAAGGCAGTCTACTTCACATCTTCCTTCTTTTGCTCTCTCTTTCCCCTTTCCCTTTTCCCCTTCCTTTTCAGCTCTTATTCTCGAACTCCAGGAAAACCTCTCCCTTTCCCATCATTCTATTTGAGAGCCAAAACATAATCTCAATTATAGCTGATAAACCTAGGGATAATGCTTGTGGGTCAGCTTTACCAAGGAAAAGGGGAGGCAGAGGTTGTGAAATGAAGAACAGATGCTACTAACACCTGGATCCTTGGAAGGGATGAGGCGTTTCTTCAACATCACCACCAGGCTCAGTCCTCCCGTTCAACCCTCCATGGTTTCCCCACATGCTATGGGCCTGCTTTCAAGATTTTATTCACTGCTGTATTCCCGACCTTTAAAATAGCACCTGGCATATAGAAGGAGCTCTATGAATATTTATCGAAGGAATGGATAAGCCAGTCTGTTTCATTTCTTTTTACTATATATTTCAATTTTGCCCTGTAAGTGTTGCAATGATGCTCATTTTCATTCTGAGAGGATGATTTTTGACTTTTGTAGGAGAGTTTAAACTTATGTAACGTGAGGATATTTCTAGCACAAATATAATTATTTTTAAAATTTCAACCTACCAACTGACAGACATTCCGAAAATAACCTGTTGGGGGACTCTCTGTGCCTTTCGTTTTCATGTTTCGAGAGTGTATCTTCTATATACATAAATGAAGTGAAAAAGCAAACCAGCAAAATGACCAGCTTTCAGCTGTCTTGACTTCTTAAGTGCTCTTTGCATCTTTCCCAAAATAGAAGCCAAGACTGTTAAATACAGTGGAGAAAACAAATCCAGAAAGATAAACATGATTAAGCATTTGGCAGATGTCTCACTGTGTATGTTTTCTGTTTGCTGATAAATCCTTGATAACAGAGACAGATACATATATTTATTCTCTGGGTAGAATTAAGCCCAGAAAAAAAAAAGGTTGGGTTTACCTAATATTTTTCAGAATTGTGCTCTTTCTCATGAGCCTTCTCAAGAGAGGAGAGATGAGGCAGGCTGTTTTTATTTTATAGATTGTTCTTCTGACATTACTCTTATGTGAGAATTTTCTGGAGTTAGAAGAGTGATCACTTGCTACTTTGCATCCCCAAACCTTAGGATTTTATAGAGATCTCACACATCTCTGTAATCTTAAAAAGAATTTCTTTCGCTACAGTGCAAAGGAGCAGTTAAAATGAGTTAAAAGCTAGCCTGAAATAAGACAGCCGAGCAGTGGGTGTAAAACATCAGAGTGTGGTAGACCTTGCTTAATTCGTGAGGATGTGTCACAACATCCTACATCAGGCTTGACATTTTGTTCCTGGCAGATTTTGGTGGGAGTGGTCATGGCGGGGAGGGTGGATGTTTAACTTTCAGTTCATTGACTACATGGAGGACAAGAAGCTACAAGATATGAAAGGAGCATGGAGTAGCAAACACAGGCAGAGGGCTCTTAGACTGAATCTTGGCAGTGCCTGTTGCTAATGTGTGGCCTGGAATGAAATAGGTAACATCGCTAACATCTCAGAGCCTTAGTTTACCTTTCTGTAAAATGGGAATAATGATGCCTATCTGGAAGGGCCGTGGTGAGGAATGGAGCTGCTAGGTCTAAGGCGTAGCATCTCTAGCTCATGGTAGTTCCTAGTCCAGGACATGTGGTCACTGTGGTCACACGGTCTCTCTCCGCTTCTTTCCTAGGTACCTCGGGATCACGAGGCCGCTCACGTACCCTGTGCGGCAGAATGGGAAATGCATGGCCAAGATGATCCTCTCCGTCTGGCTTCTCTCCGCCTCCATCACGTTACCCCCGCTCTTCGGATGGGCACAGAACGTCAACGACGACAAGGTGTGCCTGATCAGCCAGGATTTCGGCTACACGATTTACTCCACCGCGGTGGCGTTCTACATCCCCATGTCGGTCATGCTCTTCATGTACTACCAGATCTACAAGGCCGCCCGCAAGAGCGCCGCAAAACACAAGTTCCCCGGCTTCCCGCGCCACCCGGAGCCCGACAGCATCATCTCCCTGAACGGCATGGTGAAGCTGCAGAAGGAGGTGGAGGAGTGCGCCAACCTTTCGAGACTCCTCAAACACGAGAGGAAAAACATCTCCATCTTTAAGAGGGAGCAGAAAGCAGCCACCACCCTGGGGATCATCGTCGGGGCCTTCACCGTGTGCTGGCTGCCCTTCTTCCTCCTCTCGACCGCCAGGCCCTTCATCTGCGGCACCTCCTGCAGCTGCATCCCGCTGTGGGTGGAGAGGACCTTTCTCTGGCTGGGCTATGCAAACTCTCTCATTAACCCTTTTATATATGCCTTCTTCAACCGGGACCTGCGGACCACCTACCGCAGCCTGCTCCAGTGCCAGTATCGGAATATCAACCGCAAACTCTCGGCCGCGGGCATGCACGAGGCCCTGAAGCTGGCGGAGAGGCCCGACAGAGGCGAGTTTGTGCTGTAAGGTCATTTATCACTATTTTCCTTTGTCTCCCAGCCCTTTTATGGAGCTTCTTTATATATATACTAGTGGCCTGGCGCATGAAATCTGTGCACATTAAAAGGGAATTAATTAGAGGAAATATTTTAATATTGCTATTTGCCCTTTCTCTATAATAGAAGTGTCAGAGATGAAAGAAAATTAGTAAAATGTATATGAAAATCTTCCTCCTGTCAGAGTCTGGGGTATGCCGCGGGACCCAGAATCAAGTCCCTGCCCACCCATGTGCACCTCGAAATCGCGTGAGACTTGCCCTGATCGGTTTGGCTCAGTGGATAGTGTCAGCCTGGGGACTCAAGGGTCCCAGGTTCGATTCCGGTCAAGGGCATGTACCTTGGTTGGGGGCACATCCCCAGTAGGGGGTGTGCAGGAGGCAGCTGATCGATGTTTCTAACTCTCTATC